GGAGGCTATGATTGGAATGTAGAATTCCTCACTCAAATCGGAGGGGCATCTGCTCAGCACCTCTTCACGCATCCCACATGAGTCACTTTCTTTCCCTTCCTTTTTGTTAAATCACAACTTTCCCCTATAATTAGGACTTCAGATTGCAAAATCGCGTTCCTCCCTTCTGCACAGATTCATCTTGGATCGTTAGTTGCGATTAAAAAGAGGCATTAATTCAAGAACAGAGAGTGAGGGAGGGGTGCCTGCCTGCTTTGGAAAAAAAAATGGGGAGGTGGAAAGGAAATAGTTCTCAGCGTTCAATCCTCATCCACCCTTACTCCTAGCCCAGCCCAGCTGATTTTGTTCCTAGATTTCTCTGCTCTCTGATTCCCTATCTTGCCTGTTTCCAAGCTGAACTTGCAAAGGAAGGTTTTTTTTTTTTTTTTCCTTCTGGTTGTTTCTCTGGGTTAGAGAAGTCACCACACAGAACTAGGCAGCAAGGAGGAGAAGGCTTGAAGGACAGTCTTCAAGGACAGTTGTGGTCTGGAAATCAGGACAAGGGTAGACATGTCCCTTTTTACAACCAGTGTTTGCCCTGCATCTATGTGACTGTGCCCATGTCTGGAAGTCTGTGGAAGTGGGTTTCAGATGGGTTCCACAGGAGCAAAGCAAATCTGAGGTCCACAGGACAATAGGCCATTTTAACCAAGGCCCAGAAAGCAGAGGAGAGGAAGGAACTATACAGAAGCTGGGGGAAATGTTACTAACAAAGGCTTATCTTGGCCTACGACCTCCAGTTGCCTGGGGTTATCTGAGGTCATTCTCAGGACCCCCCAAGAAAGATCTTTTGTGCAGGGGAACCAGGAGACTGCCAGGCCCCTAGTTCCCCACAGACTGCTAAAAGTAGCAAGGCCCTTAGCAACAAGATTTGGCCCTTATGCCCTGTCCAGCCCAGTGTCCTCTTAACTGTTTGAACCCTCTCCTCCCATGCAGTCACATGGGGCCATAGGAGAGCCTCAGAGGGCGCTGCCTTCCAGTTAGAAATCACTTGCCACCATTACAATTCACCTCTGGTCCTGATGGTCCTGATTATGTGCAAGCAAAGGCTGGGAAGTCTGGGAGCCGAACATAGATGGTTACGGTGCCCCAAGTTTAAAGCAGGTTGTAGAGAGGAATGAAGAAGGCAGGAACCAGAGATGCTGAGGGTGGCCCCTCTCCCAGTATCTATGCACTCCTCACCCCACTACACACCCAGGATTCACCTGCCCCAGGCCATTTATATATACACCCATCCAGTCACATAACTGGCCCCAATTCCTGGCCGCAGCTGAGTGGGTAGCGCACTGGAATCCCTCAGCGAGGCCTCCAATTGGTGCAAACCGGCAGGAACCAGGATGCCTGCCCAGGGCCAGTGACTTCCTGAGGCCACCAAGAAGTCCCTTGGTACTCTGCCTGCAGCTCCAAGCCCCAGGGAGACTCACCAGGCACGCATGAGGACCCTGCATCAGCATCTCCTCTGAGATGTCCAAGAAACAGGCCTGCCTGGGGGCGCCAGTGGCTGTCACAGTGAGCTACTCCCTGGGCCCTGCGCCCAGCCCGGCGCCAGCATCCCTGCGGGGGGCTCTGATGTGTATTGGGATCTGCCTGAAGTTGTCCAAGAGGATGATTCTGGAGGGAATGTGCCCCCTGGGCCAACAAAACTATTCTAGCTGCTGCTGTGCTGGAGCGGCGCTGGGAGGGAGACAGCCCGCTGTCAGAAAAGCCTCAGCATTTCACCTTGAGATCCCGCTCCCCCTTCCAGCGCCCTGAATCCTTCTGTACACAAGATAACCAGCTCCACATCGGCTTTTTTACTCTATTAATTTTCCAGCCCATTTTCCAGATTTTTTTTTTTTCCTGCTTTGATTAGACAAAGGTAGAAGAAAAAAAATCTTGATGGAAATCTCTAAATGCTTTCTCGGGCTTTTCGTGGTCTATTGCTTGGTGTGCGTTACAAAACAAAGCCAGCCAAGCAATCTTTCTTAGGATTTTTCCAACAGTGTTATTTGAATTTCACAGATTCAACACAATTCCAGACAAATCTCAGGCACCCTTAAAAACTGACTCCACAGGAAGAACTTTGAAACAGCTCATTTCAGGAGTGGGTCCCTCTTAGGGAGGGTTCTTTCACAGTCACCCTCCTTGGCCAAGGGAGGCATGATGCTAGACACCACCAGAGAGAGCCTCACCGTAAGGAAATAGCCTTTTTTTTTTTCCTTTCTCTCTTAGTGAAAAATTTACCTGTAAAGATGAATATTTGGAAGCCAAAACAATGATAGAAGACTCCCAGATACTTTTAACATTATTAGATATTTTTAAAATTCCTTTTGATACGGCAGATAATGAAATGACCAGAAATCATCCTGTTGATAATCACTCTGATATTGAATCTATTTAAAAGGCTCTATATGTGTCATTCAATGTTTAGGCGTGAATTCAAAATATTCTGGCCTCTGTCATTTATTTATTTGGTCCCTTTCAAGTAATATATTGAAATGCAGAAGTCATTGAAAGATAGATCTGCAGTTCCTAATCTATGAAATTAAAATAATCACAGGGTTGGAGTTAATCTGCCTATTTGAGCCTCAGTGGGCAGAAGAAGCAGGCCTGAATCCCCTTGTTGTAGAAGCATTCCAGGTGACTATTCATTCCCCTGTCAGAATCTGTTGTCTGGCACAAACTGTGAGGCACAAACCGACAACCTGTGACATAGTTTCAGGCCCCTTATCACATTTTAACTCACTTCAGTGTGAAGGAATTGGGCCCTTATGAAGTACTGTTTGCATAGCAGAGCACATTCTAGTACTAGTAAAACAAAACAAAACAAAACAAAAACTCCAGTGACTGAGGTAAGAGGTTCTGAACTGTCAGCCATTTGGCCTATATTACACAGTCCTAGTCCAACTCAAAAACCTCCTGCATTCCTCCCATTGGAGACCCATAGCCTTCACCCGTCCCCACCCGTCCCCAGTGACTGGTCTAGGCAAAGATGGCCAGAAAAATGAAACCGCATTGGTTTTTGGACTGGGTTCAGGTGTGCAAACAGAAAAGTACCCCCCCCCCACTCAGCTTTGGAAAGTAAGTGCCTGGATAACCTGATAGGTTCTAGATAGCCAGAGAGTAGAGGTCATCCTGAGGAAAACGACACCACTGATCAAAAAGGACATCTACTTTATGAGAGTTCAGGCAAGATGCCAAATATTGCATTTAATGAAGCTGATGCTTTTCCTCCCAAAATAACGGACACTGTCAATGATGTAGCCAGGAAGGGTGGGGCGGGGGGGCATGTTGCAAAGCCCACATCCAGTTATTGCTTTGTAATATTTTTCTAAAATTGAAAAATGCCTCACAAGTATATGATCTCATGTAAACATTCCTTGCCAAAGTTTAACATATGTTTGAAATGCCCCCAAAAGAATGGCTGTGCTAGTCTTTCAATGCCTCTTGGGTTTTAAACTCTGTTCACTTGCATATCTATGAGAAGTTGTTTTTCCTAAGTTGTTTTTTTTCAAGAACAGAAAGTTGTCCTAAATGGGAAGTTTTTATGATTATTTTTAGAGATTAACTGCTTGAACCTGGAGAACAGTTTATACTCATAACACACTTCCAAGTTTTGTAATTGCAGTATTTTTCTTGTTTTTCTCTCTCTCTTTTCTTCCCTCCTTCATAGAAATAATATATTTGGGAGGAAAGGAATCTGTGAAGATGATGAGTGTGCACCTTAAGGTTTTAAAGCATTTCGATAGGATACATGAATAAAGGCAGGCACATAATGGATCACAGACAGGCATGACAGGTACAAGGGTATGAATTCCTTCATCCAAGCATCTGGTCATAGTCTTAACTATTTAGATAAAGAGCATTTGAAAGAATTAGAGTTACAATCATGAGTGACAATTTAAATGAAGAAAGATTATGCATTCAGCTACCGCAGCCTATGGAATTTAGCACGTCGTAGTCTGTTCCCACCAGTCATACGGCAATCCAGATAGAAGCATGTGGGATTGCAGAAAAATAACCCAACTATCCGTGTTGGGGAAAAAATTTAGATTGACTTACTAGTTTATTGCTGTTATTGTACACAGATTTCCTGCAAACATGTTGAATCTTTTAAATTAGATTTTAAATATATTTTGACAGCCTGAACTGGTGTGGTGTGACTAACCGTGGGAGGAAATGACAGGCCTGCTTTGTTACTAAACTGATGTCTGGAAAATATTGGGCTCTGTATGGTAAATGAGCATTGTTTTGCCATTCATATTAGTACAGCTAATAGCAATAAGGGTTTTTTGAACCATAGAAAGGTAAGTACTTTGAATTATCGGATTTTCTTTGCTATTCACTGTGAAGGAAAAAGTCTTTTTTTTTTTTTTTTTTTCTAAAGCATCCTCATTTTCATTTCATTACTGAGTACTCCCAGCTACTAATTCAAACAGAGAAGGAATTAATAAATAAAGGGTGATAGTACTGTTTGTTCAGAGAACTTCTGTAGTAACAGGAGAGGAGTTCTAACAAATAGACCACAGAGAGAAAGGAGGGAGAGGTCTGGAATTTGCCCAATAAGTGCCCATAAACCAGAGTCAGTGTGTCTGTCCTGTGAGGAGCCCACAGTGGGCAGACGTAAAGAGGCCCAGGAAAACTTACTCAGATTCTCCCACTACAAACCAGGATCTTTTGGTGCTCTGTGACTTGAGGACAGTTTCAAAGCTGATTCAAGCTGCCAGGTCAGTGGGGTCAGCCTTTTACTGGAGAGGAGGGCACTGACAAGGACACTCCCTTGTACTTTAGGCTACCCTCTTTCACGCAGACCCTCCCTCAAGCCTGGTAGGACAAAAAACAAATAGAAACCAATCACTTTTCTTTCAGCCTGTCTCTGCCCTTGTCATAGATAGTTAAGCTACCTTAAACATACTGTCCTTGAAACACTCTTCCTGGTTATTAATTACCCTTTGTTTATTTTAATATATTTACTGAATCAGGTACCCAAGGGAATCTTCTACATCTGTGATGTGAGCAAAGCAGTTGCCCGAAGTCAAACAGGTACACCTCGATTTTTGATTTGCATGTGCTTGTTTGAATGCGTCTGCCATGAAAAGGAGGGAACACCAGCTAGCAATGACTCCAGCTCTTTCCATGTGAGAAGTTCCTGTTTTCAATTGCTTTAGCATTAGTGTCTCACACGTCACATAAACAGCAATACATGGTGCTGCCCAGGAGTGATACAAGCTGTCTGTGAGAACCAGCATGCTTTGCTGTTCTGTATTGACGTCCTTATATAGTTGCCTGTCTCATAAAGCATAACTAGTCCAGTCTGAATAGATCTCAGTTCTTTAGCCTCATCCCACACAACTCTATAAACATTGAAAAAGTAGTCCTTCCACTTGAAGTTTAGGTCATTTAGATGAATTCGAGCAAAGATGACATCCATTGTCTTTGATTGGCTCTACCTGGCTTCGAGAACATTCCAGATTTACAATTGCCTATAATTCAGTCTGTACTCACATTTGGAAGTTTTACTATCATTTCAAAGCTCAGTGTGTTCTTCCTTCCACATTCAAATGTGGCAAAGGAGCTGCTCCTCACTTCAGTTGGAGGGTGAAGCAGGGGGAGGAGACAAGGAGGAGGTGAGAAATCTGATTTTCACCTACTAAAAAAACAAAACAAAACGGAGCTGTTAAAATGTGTTTTCAACTCTAAGTAGCCCTGCGTGAATTTAATTATGAACTCTTCATTTGGAGAGCTAGACCAGAACTCTCACACCAATCATTACAGTGTTAGGGTTTTATGTACTGTTGATACCTCTCATTGGCTCATGAAACAAAGTATGATTTTTTTTTTTTTTTCATTAAATTTTGCTTGCTGAGAATTTTGCATGAAATACTTCTTTCTTTTTTTCCTTCTGGTTTCTAGCAAAACTGAGGGGGGCAAAAGCCACACTGTCAAATTGCTGCTCTTTGCAAAGAAGGCACTTGATGGATCCAGTGAATTAAGAGCATTGGAAAAAAACAGAACCCACTTTTCCCCTGTATTCAAAGCTAGTATCTGATTACTGACATCTACTCGCTGCTGTGAGGAGAGTCTCATTTTGAATAACTGGACTGTGAACACACAATACAGTGTGTCTGCTAACCTTATACAAAGTTAACATTTTCCTTAGGAGTTTCCATATGTAGATTTGAACTCAATGTATACCTTCGGAGTGAGTTGTATGTCCATGTGTGCATGCAGTTGCGATCCTTTATTCCTCTCTTGTCCCGGTCTTTATAATTGTAATCTGAAAGCCTATTAAAAACAATGATCTAGGCCCACTGGCAGGTTTTGTGACATTGAAACCATCCATTTTGAGCAAAGAGTTAATGAACTCTAAAAGCAAGGTTCACACTGGTCCTGACCCCACTGGTAATATTTCATATAAGGTTACTGGTGGGAGAGAAATCAAATTTCAGCTGTGAACATGATTGACAGGCATGGGAAGGAAAGAAAGGGATTTGGTCAGATGGGGAATCTGGGGAGGAGGCAGACAGTGTCGTGAGGTTCCTCGGTGATATTAGATATTATAAACAGATACATGAAAAGCTCAAACCTGGTGCTCTTTGGGGAGTTACTGAGTCTATTTTCAGAAAGTCACTTTGGTTAAGGGATTTCAGTCGGGTAAGTCCAAATATGGTGAACCAGTGGTTTTTCCGGCCTCTTGCTAATGTCAGTCCAGGTACAGCCGTCTGGATTATTTCTCACAATTGATGCTAAGGTTGGTTGTGAAAATTAAACCACAAGCTTTTGGGAGAGCCATCTAATGATCTTTTATTTATTCTCAGAAATGCAGTCTAGATTATATGATGGTTCGTGATCATATTAAACAATATTTGTCCTGCCTCAGTATTACAAGAAGATGAAATTCTGTTTCAGTGGTATCCGTTGATCCTGACTAACATTTAACACTACAGGTTACAGACTCATATACGCAAATCAATCAAAATGCATGGAATATCTAGGCATGCCTCTCTAGAAAAGTCTTCCAATATGCAGTCCAACAACCAACCGCGGCCCGTCTGCCTTTCACCCCACCTTGCTGCTTGACTGAACTTGTTCCACAGCATCACTGCCTGAGGTGTGACCTACTGTCATAGAAACAAGTGAAACTGATGCTGGATGCCCCCATGTTCAGGGTGGCTTTTGAACTAGCACTTGAAGCTGTCTCCCAGTTTGACTTGTATTAAGAGTCAGTACCCATGATGTACACCAAAGTACAAATGATGCCTTCCTTCCAAACATGCTCTTGGCTCTTACGCACTGAAACACGGACAGGACAGTGGGGATGGGCCACGGCCGGCTCACCTGTATCTTCTGTCCCTTTCAAATGTTCCTGATATTGGCTTAGACACAATTGGATAAAACCAGGTCTTACAGAGCTGCCTTGGGGCAGGACAGATGGGGTGCTTACATAAGGGAGAAGCTGTTAGAGACTCTTCTGTCCCCTGTAGCAGATGAAATTTGTAGAAACAGCACCCCCAGTCTTTACAGCATGGATGTGTTTTTCCTGGCCTTCCCTGTGACCATGATATGACTTCAGAAATCTCTCTAATATAAGCAAGGCTGTTGCCAATTTTATAAACAGGGGTAAAATGAAACCACGAAAGAAAAGTAAAATCTTCTGAAATCTGTTTTTCTCCCCTCTCTCTCCATGTAGCCTGTAAGCATCCACAAATAAAATGCAAACGTCAGTTCAGGGATGCTGGCGTGGACATGGGGGCCTTTGCACGGCATGTACACCTGCTTAGTTCAAATGCAAAGATGCCACACCTGGCATCCCTCACAGAAACCACTGGAATATTTTAACAGACATGATGACCCTGTATTTCCATGCAAGGAACACATGACCCTCAGACTGTAAGTTCTGACTTCTCGGCACCTCTGGAAAGACCAAATGATCGATCTTGCCTCCGTCCCTTATGAAAAGCTATGAGGGAGTCTGAACAAGAGGCCTTTAAGAATAAATTATCTACCCAAGAAGACATGCCGCCTTCCTTGAGCATTTGCAGTGGGGACCAATCTAGTAAAAATTCTCTGCGTGTATCTCAAGCTGACTGCATTTTTGTACCATTTGGCATCGAGAAAATTAGGGAGAATATTTTTTTCATAATCCAGACTTACCCTAATTGTTTTCTGTTGCTGCTGTTTGTTTATTTAGATTGAGCTCCTCTTGGACGAATAAGTTGATTTACTCAATTCAGGACAGCAGGCTAGCTCACCTAACTGTGCCGTCTGAATGTATATTATTTTCCACCAACCTTGGGAGACTATTAAAGTGAAAAACTTAAAGAAATAAACATTTTGCATTCAGATGGGAAGGGGAGGAATTTTTGCAAAACATGCAGCCCTCCTGACTTAAAACAATAATGATGCTTCTTGTGAAGAGCTTTCATCGTAAATACACGCAATATTCATTCTGTCATCTACTAAAAGTTTAGACTCAATGTTGGGGTTCCGGAAATACTAGCGTTCAAACTCCCTCACCTGACGCTGGCTAAGTCTTTTGTTTCCTCCCTCCAGAAAGGACTGTTTTATATCTGTTACATTTTTTTTCTTCCTTTTCTTGGTAATGAAATCATGAGCAATAAATGAGCTAAGCCCAAGATTGAGGATTGTTTGTTTCTACTTTCCATTTTGTGACATTTAGAAAACACTAAGACCAGGGTGAGTCTAGGGAAGAGTTGGTGAGCCTGTCTCTCCAGCATCTGCCGGAAATGGAATAAAGCTATTCCTCGGCACCGTGTCTTTTTGGAAGGCAGTAATACCCAAAAGGGAAGAGGACAATACAGATTCAGGAGTTCCGTGGGGAAGAAAAACCAAACCTGCCCTGGGATTTTCCTGCTGAGTGGAGGTGGCTGGTAAACAGTGACCTCAGGTGTAAACCCTAGAAGATATTAACACCTAATTAACAATGCAAGGATGTATCCTCTAATCTAATCACCAGGGAGCCCAGAGAAATGACAATCCAAAAAGAGAAAGGAAGGGAGACTTGGCCGGTAGGATTTGTTTCCCCTTTTTGTTCCAAGCATCTTCTAATGCACTCCTCACGGGCAGCCGAGGAGCGTTTCTTCTCACTCATGGCTGTCTATTGAAAAGCACAGTAAGTTCATTTGCTAGCAGGTAGCCAGTGGAGGTGAGAATTGAATTGATCTCAAATGCTCCTCCGAGAAATTGACCCTGAGGTCGTCTTCTCTTAAATTGGGTTCCACACACAGAAGTTTCTTTTCTTACTCCTTCCTTGTTCCCAGCAACAGAATTGAGTTGGGGGCGGGTGTAATTATTTAAAGAGATTCTTAGGCAACAGGGTTGACTCTCCCTCCTTACAGTTAATCAAAATAGAGACCTTTTGTTACGGATGGTAGTTAATTAAAGGGCTGGCATCTATATTGCCCTGGTAAGCCTCCGGCTTGTTTATATTTTAAAATGAGGTTCATTCCTGATGTATAGGAAGCAAGGCAGGGCTGACTTGGGGTTTCTAACTGGCCAGAACATTTTGAATAGAATAGAATTTTCTATTTAGTTCTATTATTTCTCCCCTCCTCCCCTTCTCTTCTTCTTCCTCCTCCTTTCCCTATTCCTCCTCCTCCTCTCTCTCTCTCCTCCTTAATGGAACAATCAGGTTCCTTCAAAACTCTTAAGATACACAGTACAAATCGGAATCTGCATTTCAGAAGACATGAGAGTCACTGACTGAGTGTTCAGAGCCTCTCTCTCCTCCTTCTAAGCATGGTAGCAGAGAGCAGAAATTCCTGTACCAATGCTGACCTTTTTGACTGGAGCTAAGAGCTGCTTCTTCATGCTGTGCTGCTGTGGGTAGCGCATACTTCTCGTTCTCTCCTGATGCTCAAAGACTGTTTTGTTATTGGTCCACCCCACCACCAAACTTTTTAATGTCTTGTTTTTCTTCTCCCTCTCCTCTTCCTCCTCTTCTTCCCCTCCTCATCTCTCTTTTTCTCCTCTTAAAGCTCTGATTTTTGCCATTGCCTAGTAGAATATAAAGGCAAAATGTCTGGGCTACAAGTTCTCTGGTGTTTTGGAGGGTGAGGCTGACCTTGTGCTCCTAGAATGGACAGGGGAGAGGATGGATACCAGGTTTCTGCAGACTTCAGGGCTGGACTTGCTCTGCTGCCCAAGTGGGGGGGAGGGGGGGACAGGGGGGGGACGAGGGACTCCCAGCTCTTCTCTCCAGACGCCTTCTGGAGACTTGTGGCCTACGCAGAGCTCTGCATCACCCTGTTCTTCATACAGACTCCTGCCTCTCCACCTGCTCAAGTGTTCTACTAGCCCAGTGAAACCACCACACCAGAACTTTGGTTCAACTGCTTTCAAAGTTGGGCCCAGCTGCCTCCTGGGTGATAAAGCTGTTGATGAGTGTATTGTTTTCCAAACACTCTGGTCTCCACAGGCAGCTGGAGAACCCAGTCATTTTGAAGTGTGACATCTTTTCTCTCTTATCTTTCTTGTGCAGTCCTATAACATCCCAGTCTAATGACAGGGGGGAAAAGATCTGAAAAGAAAAGGAAAAAAAAGAAAAGGGTTGTGGTCAAGAAGAGTGCATGGCCTTGACCTAAACCAATCCTTGCAGATCTGTGGGGAAAAAAAAAAAAAAAAAAATCCAGCTCCCAAACCAGACTTGTAGAATTAGGGCGGGGGAGTTTCAGCCTTGACCCCAGAAGAAAAGAACAGAACACAAAAAGCCTCCTGCCAGAGAGTAGGAGGTTTTACAGAGGTGTCCTGAAATGTCACTCTGTTCCAGAGAGGAAATAAAATAAGCATTTGTTTTAGTTGTTTTTTTCCTCCTATTTCATTTGAGCTAGCTGGTTTTAGTAGGGGAAAAACTAGCCAGACCAAGGGGTGACACTGTGTATGTGATGTACCCAAGGAGAACAGAAGAGGGCGTCATATCCACTGGAGTTTCAGGTGATTATGGGCCCAGTGTGGGTGCTGGGAGACAAATTCTTGTTCCCTGGAAGAGGGGTACTCAATCTTAACCACTTAGTCATCTCTCCAGCCCCTTTGCTCAACATTTTACAATGTCATTCAGTATCACTGTAATGGTCACCAGAACCATTTTCTCTGACAATAAAAAAGGCATCTTGTCATCATGACCAGAGTTCACTGGTGAGACTTTCACTTTAGGAAAGAAGATTTTCTATGTGATTTCATTGCCAATTCTTTGGAAGTTCTCTGTGGAGTGATTGAGGGTACAGTGACTCTGGGAAGGCAACTTTTTACTATTTCTTTAAAATTTAATTGGGATCAGGCCACTGTATGCTGTTGAGGGTTTCGCTCCCCACGTTCCCCTCTCCTCCTGTGGCTCCCCTCCCCTCACTCCCCTCTCCTCTCCTCTTCTTCCTTTTTATCTAATCAATTTCTTTTTTTTTCTTTTGCTATTGCAAGCTGCAACAAAGACACTCATAATTTATAATCAAAATTTGGTATCATTAAGCTAAACTGCACAGAACTAACTTTGGGGTTTTGTCCATGAAATAAATATTTGAAAAAAGATACACACCACGGAGGCTTGGCTCATGGAGGCAATGCCAGTACATATATAAATATCTGCATGCATGAATATATATAGTTGTGGTTCATTTCAGAGCCTGTAAAAGCTGGTCCCGAAAAGCATCTTCTCAAACCAAGACATTTTCTACACATTTAGTCAGGAGATTAACAGGATAAGGTCATAAGTATGCTGACATTAATGAACTTACAATTTTTGATTCAAAAGTCCTCCATAATTCACATTAACATATATATACATATATACCATATATAAGTAACAT